TATAAGTATAAATGTGTCTTGATCTTTAAAAAGTTTTTAATTGATAGACTTGATATATTTTATAGCATATTGTAGTAATTATTCTGAGTCATTTTTATTTGTCTAGGACTCAAGCTCTACCTACGACCAAGTTAATAAATTGATCAATACATACATTCCACCAAGTTAAACTAAGACATGATGTAACACCTATTAGGTTAAACGTCATGACCCTCCCATTGATTAAACTCATATTATGATCAGTCCACCCTAACAATCTTGCACATGCATATGCAGCCTATACACAACTATATTAGTCTTTACCTTGAATTAGAGATTCGAAGGCTGCTCTATTTAATCAATAGTTAATCCTTAACCAATTTGAAATCTTCTCAATTATTTTATTGTGAACGTATCACTCTTTAATCAACATATAGAAAATTCATATCTTTCTTAGAATCTTAAACTTGGCATAGTTCAGTCCTTTACCCATCAATCAAATAAGGTTAATCCAAAGCCCTTAATCAAACTCCCAAAATTATATTGACCCTAATAAACCAAACTAAACTGACCTAACACTCATAAAAATAATAGGACCCACTCACGCCTGCCTATATCTTTAGGGACAAGCTAGGAACCATTTAGTTAAACCTTAGATCTGTCAGGATAGATCCAATCAACATTAAGGCCAGTAATCTGAGTCAAACCTCGACATATTATAGCCCTTTAGGTTATATCTTAATTGAATCAAGAGCACTCATCTCACATAGGATCTTAAATAGGATTATTTGGGTCTACTTTATACTAGTTAGCCTTAGTGAAATACCTTAATCACCATAATTAATTCTCTAAATGAAACAATGTAACTTTAAAATAAATGTTAAAGTAACATAAATAAAATGCGTGTTATGTTAACAAATCTTTTAATCTTCTCCTACTTCTTTAGTTCCTTAATACTAAAATTAATATCAACATCTGATGAAAACTTTGGGAAATACTTGTGAAATGTTTTATTTATTAAATTATTTTCATGATTTGACATTGCATTTTGATTATCATAGTTTTAAATTAATGTGAATTGTATATTTACAAATATTAAAATTGCTATTTTAATAATAATAAATAATGATATTAATCTCAATTTAGAAACAACATAGAATAATCATATTTTTTAAAGAAATTGTTCCCCAAACTCATACCTCGACCCTATAACAACTGTGGGTATTTCACGATGATCTCCTTTTTAATCTCTCGAGTTATTTCACACTCAAAACTTTCCTTCAAGGCACTTTGATAAATGAATAGACCAGCGCCAAAACTATCAAACTTCACACTCCATTCATATATATTTTCATAACTCCGGTCTTCTCAAATCAGCCATGGCTTGTACTAGATGATGTGAGAATCATCATGCATATATAAACAAAGTAAAAAGATGTTAAAATGTTGTGTAGTCCAACAAACATTGGAGAAAGTGCCAACCAATATGAAATTTTATCATCTCTCTCAATCACCTAAAAAGATATCAATGAAGTGGGATTGATGTTTTCCACTAGTGTCAAATCTTGTAACTCTTGAATTCACTATCTTTATACTAATGGTCAGTATATCTTTACTAAAAAATGGGCAGTGCTCCTCATTTTTAATACTTATTCTCATTTTATGACAATCTTTTGGTTGCACATAATATCTTTCAAGTTTTATAGAAGAAAAAAATGGCATTTACATGCGTACCACTCGATTCTTATGTATTTATATGTCTAGTACATAAAATTTACTTTTTATATTTATACCAACCAAATCTTTCATATCACATATAAATACCATCATTTTAACTTTTAAAAAGTGAAATGCACTTCCTCATGAACATATAAGATGGCATATATGTAAAAATTGAATTTTAGATGTTAGATATGTAACTACAAAAGAATTGAGCGGCATTATGTAAATCTTTGGAAAAAAAAAAGATTAAATATGAAAAGTCGAAGACCACCAATGAATAAGAGTTATTGGTTTATCTTATTTGCTATCAAAACTATGGGTCCGTTTGGGGCAGCTTATTTGGTGCGGTGGCGTTTTGAAAACACACATAACTTGTTTGGGTAAACTGCGTTTTGGTAGCTTACGTGTTTTCAAAATGCTGAAAATAACATTTTCATACCGTACCTAGATAGGTGCGGTGACAGTTTTTTGGCTGTGGTTTGACTTTTTCAAAAAAATAAAAATTTGTAATAACCACCGAACTTAGCTTATCAGTAGATAGCTTATCAGTAGATTATTTTTAAATCACATTATCAACAAATTATTCAATAAGTTACAGCTGCCCCAAACAGGCCCTATGTGTGGGTGATGTTTTTGTAAACAGTTCAGGTTCAATGTTATACAAAGGTGCCTTATGATCCATTTTATGTATAACGCAGGCTTACTTACAAATGCTATTAAGCAATATTATTCAATTGCATAAAATTTCATTGAAGTGAATGAATCAAAAAGTCGTTAAGGTTGCTAGGGTGTGTAAGTCTAACTCAGTAGATAAAAGCTGTAGAATTACTTTTGGATGAGGAGGCCCATCTTCACATGAGATTAGTCGAGTAATTGCTGAACTTTATGTCCATGTCGAAACCTAAAGTTGATCGAATGTGACAGATTGTTGGCAAAAGGCGCACCACTTTGTGAGTTTGACTCCAAACACCCTAATTGTAATCATAATTGTATATCAAATTCATACGATTGTGATTTGTTTCTCCAAATTGACGATTTTAATGCATTAAGAGCATCACGATTTCTTAAGACTAACTTTTTGTAACCAATTCGGTCGGATACGATGAAAAAAAATTAATTATGAACCAAACATCATTTGAATCAAAGTTGAAATGCCCCATCGCCATTGAACTAACTCGAGGGACATTCATTCGCAAAAAAACACTGAGTTAAAGGTGAAGGCTTAGGAGTTATTTGGCTGAGTGAATTAGTTATGTACTGTAATTGTTTTGCAATTTTTAGAGAAAAGTATGTATTTGGTATGAAAAATTATAAATACGATAAAAGTTTGAATGAATTTGAAGTTTACACTGTAGTTTATTTTTGCTAAAATAAGAATTCAGTCAAATTTGAATTACACAATTCATGAAAAATGCTATAGGCAAGTCACCGCCACCAAGCCGTTGCTCATTCGCCGCCAGCTAACAGTTGTTGCCCCTCCACTGCCAGCAACATGTCGTCTGTCGCATGTCACTCGCTGACCACCGTTGCAAACCGCCAACCTATCACCACCATCACTGGCAACGGTTTGTCAACGATGTAGGCCCGCCATCGTCGGCTGTCTGCCATAGTCTCCTCCTCCAGTGACCACCACCATTGTGGTTCGCTGCTTGTCGCCTTCTTCGGTGGTCGTCGCCTGCCGCCACTGTCGTATGTCACCGCCGTTAGCCGCCTGCAGTCGCCGTAATTTGCCGTTGCCCTCATTTCCTGCTAGCAGCCTCTTCCGCACGTCGCCACCATGTGACGCCCGCCGCCCCCTGCCCCACCCTCCGCTGCCAAATAAAAAAAAAATATATTTTAAAACACATTGTTTTCAAAATACTTCAAACCAAACAAAAAATTTAAAGTCCTCTGTTTATTTTACAGTAACTCAAAATTATTTTAAATAAATTGTAATCAGAGTACTCTGTAAACATTTTATATTGTATTTAATTTTCAACAAGCCAAACGACTCCTTAATGACTTACAAACATAGCAAGAACTTGCATGCTATTTAGAACTTCGTTTGTTACTTGCATGAGAAGAGGGAAGTTGAGAGAGATATATAGAAACCAATCATCAACTCAAAGCCCCAATAAATAGTCATCAAATCATTCCAATCAATGCATAAAAATTTCTAAATTGTACAAATTGCAAGGTGGAAAATAGTGGTGTAATTACATGGTCAACAACCCTCTCATAAAACAAAAATTGATCATTCTATAAAAACCACTCGAAGAAGTAACAATTTATTTGAAAATGAGGAAAAATAGTGAAGGTGTGTAACCCTTTTAAGTAGAAAGAAATTAAACTCTTAAATATTGAGACAATATTTGTGTAAGAGTTGGAAGTCTATTGAAACTTCAAAGTTAAATTAGATTGTGTGGAAGCACTCTTGTGATGGTTGACTTTTTGAGAAGTCACGTTAATGAGACAAGCATCGAGATGATTAGATATAAGTGGACAATAATTTGATCAATGAGAGTTAAGATCGTCATAGTAGTGGACAGACTAAATGAGGAGAAGACACCAAAAGTCAATTTAACCTTATTTTAATCTATCTCACAAGAATGATCATAAGTACCCAAAAAGAGTTTGTCAATGCACTTTAATATTATGCCACTATTTTTTATCATTAAAATTAAAATTAAATACTAAAAAAGAGATTATAACTATGATTCATACATAAATAGCCATGCTTTGTGATCAAAGTAATTAGCTTACATGGAACTTGATTTGGTTCCGTTGCAATAATTTAGCTTAATTAAATTAACTTAATTGATTTATAATTAGTAAATCGCCTTTATTAATTTATCATGATGCCCCTCTTTTATTAATTTTTTAATCCGTTTGATCTTAATATGACGTCAAATTACTTTTTCTTTTTAATGCAAATTTGTTTAAATTTAAATTATAAAAAATTAAATGCCAAATAATTTATGAAATATGAACAAATCATGTTTATTTGGTGTGTGGTGTTTTGAAAACGAACCTGACTTATTTGGGTAAACTGTGTTTTGACAGCTTATGCGTTTTCAAGACGCGAAAAATAACATTTTCACATCGTAACTATATAGGAGCGGCGGCAGCTTTCTGATATCGATCTGACTTTTCTAAAAAAAAAATTATAATAATCATTACACTTAACTTATCAATAAATTATTTTTAATTAGCTGCTTGTCATACATTATATAATAAGGTGACAGATCTTTATTAAATTCGGTCTTAAGGTATTTATTAAATTTCATTTAAATTAAATCAGCCCTTCGAGGTGAAAATGGCACGCGGACGGCTGATGCTGTTGGTCCGCATAAATTTTAGTATGCGGTCATCGGGTGGTTCTCGTCTCCAGCGACGATAAAGGTCAGATTTGGGCGAGAGAGTTTCTTTCTTTCGCTTGCCCTGCTTGTTTCGCTTCTGCTATTCTCAGGTAAGAACCAGAAACCCTTGATGCTGTCCTCCTTTGAAATTTCAGTTTTTTCATTCGTCTAATCTTCCAATCTATCATTCAGAATGCTTAGGTCTCGAATCGGGTTGTTATGCAAGTTTGTTCTTCTTCGATTATTATTGTTTTTTAGTTTCATGCCTAAAACACGCCTTTTAGATTTCAACCCATATCTTATTTTTTTTACTGGTTTTTTTTCGATCTCCATGAAGCCCTAAAATTGGAGCGGTGTTTTTCTTTGATGTTTTGTCAGTTGATTTTCAATCTACTTCGATGTCGCCCGTCGATCAGGAGCTGTTTTAGTGTTCTGTTGTCTGAATTTTATCCCAGCATGGAAGCATCTTCGAGTTATTCATGGCTCAAAAGTTGTGTTTTGCGATGAATTGGTTTTTTGGATCTGATGCATAAATGTGTGGTATCATTGATCGACCGGAATGCAGTGATCTTAGTGCAATCCATTTTTTCTTTCTCTATAAGTTATGTTTTCTCTGATTATTTAGCCAATCATTAATTTACATTTATATTTAATGAAATTGCTTTTATTCTTTCTATTTGCTGAAACTTGTACCGACCATCTGTTGCTTATTTGTCAATCTGGTTTTATTCTTGTGAATGTTTGTTCTGCACTCTACCCAGCCTTTCTGTCCTGTTATATTGACTTCAAATATGGAATTATAGTTCCAGGTTGTCAGTGTTTTTGTTGCAATTGACCCAAAGATTGGATGACCCAAATGCTGCGAGATTATAGAAATGTAAGTTCTTTTTTTCTCCATTATCATTTTTTATCAGGGACAATTACGTACACAACATTCGAAACATTTTTATTTACAAAACTAGCACGCAAATGATTTTTTGAACGATTGAATCAATGAATTTATGCATGCTATGATCAAATCATTTAGAATTTGATAAAAATAAAAAATTTGGGTTGCGGTTTTATTATGAATTTTGATATTTAAGTGAGAGTTTGAAAAATGGATGATAGAGGGTGCTAGATTTGTATATAGCAATGTTTCGAATGCTATATATGAAATTCCCCTTATTATTATTGGTGTTTCACCTAACAAATCGGTACACATTTTACTGCTAAACTTTATTTCCTCCCTTCTTGCCTTCTTTCTTATCTAATTTAGTTTATTTCATTTGTTTGACTTTGAAAGGGGTTTCATCGTGGCCATGAGGATGAGTATGAGGATGATGAGTATGATGAATATGAAGATGAGGGTTCAGAGGGCGAGGAAGAAGGTGAACAAAAACAAGAGGAAGAACGAAAACCGAGCAAGGAAGAGTTGGAGTTCCTCAAGCTAAGGGAGGAGCGTAAGGAGATGTATAGGCAGAAGTTGAAGAAACAGAGTGCCAAAGATTTTGGTCATTCCATTCTATCAAAAACTAGTGAAAGGACATTGGCTAACACAAAGTGAGTTATATTCGTTCTTTCCACAAGATATCAGTCTTGATTAGTGAACTTTGTAAATGATTTGATGAAGTAGAGCTTGTGAACTGTTGACTACTTCCGCAATCTTAGATCTACTGATCCAAGTTATCAAAAATTTAAAGGAATTGCTGGCAAATTAAGCCTGGTCAGGTTTCCATGCCACTCTTTTTCCTCTAAATTGATTAGAGAAATGGAGAAAGGTGATTGATGTTTGTCTTTGGCTTGGATTTCCTTGAAAGGTGTTTTATGTATTATTCTTCAGTTTCTCGCTGTTGTGTTTAACTGGAAACTGATTTCATGAATGTAGAACCTGCTGCAGGATTTACTTTTTTAATATTTTTATAATGAGCTGGATATTTGAGTGAGTAAACCACAGAATTAGCATGCAATTTTTTTTTATGTATTGTTTATTTTTTGTAGTATCATGGTTCATTTTAATGATGTTGCTATTTTGTCTTAAGAATTCTAATGCTTGTTTGGAATGTGAAATTGTTGAACTTTCTTGAATAAATTAATATTTCTTTTTTGTTTGTTTGAAACTTTTCAGTATAAAAATATATAATCCTAGAAAGATCTTGGCACAACCCTAGATCATTTCACTGCAGTTGATGAGCGATTAAGTAACTTTTTTTCTTAATTGACTGTTAACATTTTTTTGCAACCACTTTTTATTTTCCCACCTCCCGTATTTCTTGGGATTGCAACATCTGAAATGTTTCCCATCACCCTTATTTTTATCTTTTTTTTGTTTAAACATTGTCGGGTCCTAAGCCTCGAATGCAAAAAGTGAGGGTTGCATTAGATAGTCGACTGCTAGTGTAATATTTTTGTCAAAAAAAATTATGATCTGATTCCTTTAAAATCATTGTGTAAATTGTGTAAATTGTGATGCTAAAATTCCGCTTTTAGTGATCTTTATAATAGATTAGATTCTAAAGAGGGTGAAAAATATATGTATAAACTAGCCAAACAAAGAAAATGGAAAAATAAAGATTTAATTTAAATAAAGTGTATTAAAGATTAAAAATAAAAAGTGTTCTTTTTAGAGGAAAATATTCAAAATATGTGGGTAAGCTATTTTGATAAAATTTTCAATGAAATTTCTAAAAATACGATCGACTTTAGTGATCTTAATATCGTTAATAATAATAAATTTTTTTTATTTTTATCATCCCATTAGTAAAAAAGAAGTTGAGGAAACTTTACAAAAAAACTAAAAGCGATCAATAGGACCTGATGATTTCCCTGTTCAAGTGTGGAAATATATAGGAGATTTGGGAGTTTCTTGACTTATTAAATTCTTTAATATTATTATTAAAACTAAAAAGATGCCCGAGGAATGAAGGAAGTGCATTTTTGTCCCCATTTTTAAGAATAAAGGAAATGCACAAAAATATGCAAATTATAGAGAAATTAAGTTAATGTGTCATACTTTATAATTATTGTAGAGGGTAATTGAATAAAATATGATACAAAGACTTTTCATAATTTGTTTGGATCTATCTCGGGTATGTTTAATATGAAAGCTATGACTTGTATTCAAGTCATTAAAGATATGTTTACTCGTGTTCAAAAATATGGATTGACCAATTATTTTCCTATTTCAGTTGGATTACATCAAGGATTGGTTTTAAGCCCATGTCTTTTTGATTTATTTATGGATGCTCTTACTGGACGTATACATGAAGATTTACCTTGGTGTATGTTTTTTTTGCTGATGATATCCTTCTTTTGGATAAGACTAGAGAAGAAGTTTGGGAAAAACTTGAATTATGGAGGTCTACATTGGAGTCTAAAGGCTTTCATTTGAGTAGATCTAAAACTGAATACATGGATGTAATTTTAGTAGCAATATCTCTAGTGGCAGATTTTTTAATTATGGGTGATCAAATCATTAAAAGGTGTGAATGTTTTAGATATCTCGTGTCTATTTTTCAAAGCGATGATGATATAGATTGAGATGTTATTAGTAGAATTCAGGTTGGTTGGTTGAAGTGGAGGAATGCATCAGACCTTTTGTGTGATAGAAAAGCGCCGCTTAGACTTAAAGTAGAATTTATAAGATGGTCGTAAGACTCACAATGCATTAGGTGCAGAATTTTAACCTTTAAAAGAGAATCATAGAACAAAGTTAAGTCTCGCTGAGATGAGAATGCTTAGGTGGATGAGTGACTTGACACTTAGAGAAAAAACGTGAAACGAATTTATTCGTGATAGGGTTGGTGTAGCTCCACTTGCAGATAAGATTAGAGAGAGTCGTCTTATATGGTTTGGTCACATTAAACGTCGACCATCTGATGATCCGGTAAGCAGAGTAGATGTTTCAATTCAACTTATGTTAAGAAAATTAGATGTATATCTTAAAAGACTTGGGGTTTATTGTATAAAAAAATGATCTTAATCTATTATATCTAAATGAAAATATGACACTTAATAGGACACATTGGAGAAACATGATTCATGTAGCCGACCCCGTTTAGTGGGATAAATGCTTGTTGTTGTTGTTGTAATGTTATTGTATTCCAAAACTTATTTTTGTTTGCTTTGAGATTAGAGAGAGTCGTCTTATATGGTTTGGTCACATTAAACGTCGACCATCTGATGATCCGGTAAGCAGAGTAGATGTTTCAATTCAACTTATGTTAAGAAAATTAGATGTATATCTTAAAAGACTTGGGTTTATTGTATAAAAAAATGATCTTAATCTATTATATCTAAATGAAAATATGACACTTAATAGGACACAATGGAGAAAAATGATTCATGTAGCCGACCCCGTTTAGTGGGATAAAGGCTTGTTGTTTTTGTTGTTGTAATGTTATTGTATTCCAAAACTTATTTTTGTTTGCTTTAAGAAGGGTGTAATGTGGGAGATAGTAGGGAATTTTATGATTTAATTGCACAAGAATGTCCTGTAATGTTGTTTTCCGAGGGTTTTGAAAGGATGGCGTTGTTATTGATGCTGATTATAGCAGGTCTACAGTCAGAGGTGTTTTAATTTTTTGTAATATTTGCAATTTTTAAGTTTGATTCTTCATATATATGATTGTGTTTATTTAACGTATTTAAGATTGGTTGTATTCTAGAACAGCATACAATGTACTTGAGGTTATTTTTTCAAGTTTGGCCTTTTCATGTCACTTAATATGCATGCATGTGGCCAACTCAAGCAATCAGTAGACAAAATATGTTTATTGAATCCTTTTTTTTTTCTTCCATTGGGAGCGTTGTTGACATGATCAGAGTTTTTTTCATGGTTGTCAGGAGAAACCTGACACACGTTCTTATTTGATTGCTACTGAAAGTAATGATTTTTTTTTTCTTATAAATTTTCTCCTGCAAAATCACGTAGTTAATTTACAAAAGTTGATTTCTATGATTGTACTTGAAAATTTGATTACAGTTCCTTAGCTTTATTTTTCTTTTCATAGTTGCATGTTTTTACTGATGACATTACATACATATTTCATTAATATAGGCGATGCTGCATTTTTATTACTTAAATATTATTTTCAAGACTCTTCTTTTGTTCTAGGGTTAGGCCATTTTGCGGTGATTGTTCAAGTTCAATCATTCGGTGATGGGCTTTTTCAATATTGAGCTCTTTTTTTAGTTGAGTTGATGCGTACTATGGCTAAATTGCAGAAGAAGAAGAAGAAACAATAGTAGGGTAGATGTTTTCAGAGAGGAGTGGAGGACAATGAGATTTTGTGGTGAGTAGTTAGATTGGGATTGTCAAAGGAGGTGAAGTTGCTAGCGATCATTGGAGATAGCCAATGTTAGGAGTGAGGATGGATGAACTTTTTGCATGAAGGGAAGAAGAGAGGGAATGAAGAAAAAATAGATGTTTACTCTTACCTTTTCTTCTCTAGATTGATTGTTTTTTTTTTGTTTGCATGATGTGTGAACCAATCTAAGTGGAGGATTTTCAAAAATGTGAGCATAAATGAAGCATAGCACAAAAATGAGGGATACACGGGATATTTTTCAATTTGAGTGCCTTGATGTTACCCTCCTACATTCACATTTTTTCCCCTGAAATTTCTCACCTAGTCAATGCTTCTCAAGCTAATGAAGAAAGCTACTTTATAATAGAAACCTGATATTATTCAGATCACAATAATTGTACTTAAAAAGATGGATCATTTTATGATTGTAACGACAAAAGATAGAAAAATGCTAGAACTTCAACATTTTTGTTTTCTTGAAACTCTAGTTCTTGTCACACACACATGAAATAAGTGAGGTTGATTATCTTAAATTTAAGTCATTCGTTTTTAACTGTTCGTCTCTTTGTATATGTTACACCAAACTTCTATTGCAGATTTGGCTCCTTCTTTGGACCGTCTCAACCAGTCATTGCTTCTCGAGTTCTTGATGAAAGCCGCTCAATAAGAGAAACTCAGCATATTATTTCCAAACCTCCCAGTTCTTCCGGGGTTTGTATTTGGAGAAGTTCTTTTGATATTGTTAATTTTTGCTGGTGGGTCATAAACTTTGTTGTTCTTTAGAATTATGAATTATGTTGTGTGTTTGCAGAATGAAAGAGTTTCTGTCTCTGCATCCCAAGAGAAAAAGTTTTCTGAACATCATCATCGTCCGAAAGTTAACGAGGTAAAATTGGGACTATTATCAAGTCATCTTCATTTTTTTTGTTGGCCTATCCCCACAAACAAATTCTCATTTGCAGGTCAAGAGGAAAGTGCAAACTCTAAAAGATTCGCGGGATTACTCATTTCTTTTATCTGATGATGCGGATTTGCCTGACAACAAGGCGCCGCAGACTACAACGCGGCATGTTTCTGCACCAATGACCGGTATGTTTGCATCTTAATCCTTTAGATATTGTCTTCAAAAGCTTTCAAACAAATTTATCATTTTCATGGAGGATACTCACACAGGTTTCTCCTCATTTGGAAGATGCTCGGTCAACTCAGGCAGCATTAAAGACCAAGATTCCTACAAGCAAACCATTGAAATCTACCTCCAATGGCCATGACATGAAGAATGCTGTACAGGTAAGTAGACCAATGCAGACTAAGGTACCAATGAAAGGGTTTCATGTGAGCAGGCCACCACCATCTTCTTCAGAACCTCGAAAAATACCTGTCAGTAAAGTTGGTGGAAATGGCCATAACAGACCTGTAGGGCCTAAACCTTTAGCTGCGCCATCCAAGGTTTCTGTGCAGTCCAAGGTTCCTGTTGAGGTTATTGGTACAAACAAACCTGGCTCAAAATCTATGAATGGGTTGATTTTGAAAAAAAATATTTCAACAGCAAAGCCTCATTCTTCCACTCAAAATCATTATGCTGAGCAAAAGAGACCAAGTCAGGCGGCAGATAGAGTTAGAGCAGCACCTAAACCAGCAGCACCAAGGCTGACACCACCTTCCTTAAAATCTCAAGTGATCTCTCAGTCACTTTGCTTCCTGTAATTTTAGTCTGCTGCTTTTTTTATGTTGTTACTAACCATTGCTTTCTAATTGAAGCCTCCTAAGCCAATTTCATCCCAAAATATTCGTGATGAGTCTCAAAAGAAGAAGCCTGTAAGAAGAAGACCAGATGGAGATGACGAGGATGATGCTATTCAAATGATTAGGAATATGTTTCGGTTTGTAACCATCATCTTGATTTTCCATAAAACAGTAATGTTATTATGTACATAATCTGGTTTGGTGGTTTTTTATACTTAATTATCTTCTTTGAGTCTCATGAAATCTCTATATCAAGTGAGGTTCTAGATCTTGAACTTTATAGATGCAGGCAAAGCTTTGGTTCAGTAATTAATGTTAAGAATTCTTACCCATTATGATAAGCTGGGAAATTGTTTACTTATCATTGTTTTGACACATCTTATCTCTAGTTGTGGGGTGCATCTAGTTGTTTATACTTATAGAATAGACACATCCTTCAAAGAGTAAAGAGTAAGGTTATGTGTTCTTCTGGAAGCATGACGTTAGATGATATAGAATTTTTTATGCAATTTAAATGACACGATGAATGTGGATTGCACAAAAGTAATTAGGATTCACATACTAAAGACCTTTAAATACAAGGAAAAAATGACTCTCCTTAGGTGCAAACCATAAAATACAAGAATTAGAACCAAATTGATAATGTAAGTATTGATTAATTCCAAATAAATCAATGAGAAATTTGAACTAAAAAGAGTTAGGGAGTTAATTATAGGTTATTCAAAATAAACTTTGATGAACGAAAGAGAATGCCACAGTGAAAATTATTGATGCCTCGCATTGATACAAGATGATGATATTTTTTGGAATTAAGCGATGGCACTTCTACTGCACTCAAAAGAATCACATATCTAACTTGCATTCTTGATTGAAAACTTGAACTGAAAATTTTTGAAATAGAAAACTTTATGACATGCCTCAAGAATGTGTTTACATGGCTCTTAAGGTTCAATTTAAAATATTGAATCCGGCTATAAGTGAAGTCCTATAAAAAGCCACATGATCAACACTACAATTCTATGATTACTACATCCCCCCAGCGAAATTGGTGGAATAAATCTTCAGCAAGGAATATTATATGTATAGACACTATTGTTATAGTCCTACATCTTTCTGTCTTATATTGAAAACTTCAACTCTTGTGAATTGATCGCATGATTTTCTTTTTTGCCAAGTAATCATGAGTCATGACAAACTGGTCTGTTGTACTGCTGCACAAGCTATTTTTGGACTCCACCTCTAGTAATGAATACAATTTGTTATCTAAATTAGCTTAGAAATGCATTGATATTTCTGGAAATATGTGAATGCGTATTTATATGGAAGTATAATGGTTCTTAAAATTGTACAATATGAGCCTCGCCTTGAGGCCCGATTCAGCAATTTTTAAAAAATTTGCAATGGATACTTCATGAGACTTACACCTCACATAATATGAGGCTCTCTTCAAGGTGTGCCTTGCCTCAATTTTGGTGAGACATGCATAATAAGATGTTGGATTTTTTTTTTAAAATATAAATAAGATAACATTAAAAAACATTCATTGCTTTCTCATATAATATACAATTGAGGATTAATTAAACTTGTTACTATCAAATTAGCCATTGTTTAAAATCTAGTAAGTATCAATAGTGATTAAATAAGAGGAATACGATTGAGATTTAGGTTGTGTAAAAGGAATGAGAGAACATAGATATAATTGAGAATAAAATGATGGTTAAAAGCAAATTATTATGTCGATTATTGAAATGAAGACTCATTTAAGTGATAAGAGTGATAAGGACTTTTGAATATAAAAACTTTCCCTAAACCCTAATGCAATAAATTGGTAGCACATTCATGAAATAAGGTTAGATACATTGAAAATTGGATCAAGGCTTTTTTTCTTTCTGAAATTTTTAATATATTGGCATTAGTTTCAACGTACTGTAAGATTTTAGATGTCACGGTCTTTCTCGTCTTTAATTCCTTAAAGGTCCTTGAGGCAAACATACTTGAATTCAAAAGGACCGTTAGTGCCTGTTGTCGTGCATTCGTTTTTCTATGTACTTCGTATTCAAATTACTATAAAACTTATAATTGTCATGGTTAGCAATTCATGTTCTACAAATATCATTGTGTACTTCAAGTAAACTATGCAATGATATGAAGCAAGCAATGAAAATATCACGTGATAAATATGCATAGTAAGAAATAATAATCTATAACTAATTTCTAGATAAGGAGATCATAAAGAAATTGAAAGCAAATTAACCATACAACATTAAATATCTATATGGATGAACAATCTTTTAATTAAAATTAGCCCAAATGAGTTTAATGGTAATTGTGATGACTTGCACATTGTTAGAATTGGCTAGATAGAGTTTTGAATTTTAGTTTTTTTTTTAAGCATTTGTTGTTAACAACTTTCTTGAAATATTGATGTAAAATAACTAACTTGATAAGGTTCTTTTATTGATTTAAATGCAATTAACCAGGACCTAAGACAATTAATATTAATATGATCATTCATGTAGGGACAATTTTGATTATAAAGTTAAAAACTATTGTGCTATCAAGTTACCTGATTGATTTCATCAACTATAAACACAATTGTTTCAGTTTTTGATGTTCAGGAATATACTCAATTCCTCTTGGAAGTTCAATTTCTCATATAATCTCTACTCCATTACAATTTTTTATTTAAAATTTATTTATTTTCAGAATAGAGTTTCAGGTTAATGAATATGATCTAATTTAGGTGCATATTCAAATTGAATGTCATAATATAGCTTTAAATTGTAAAATAAATGGTATTCTACATCTAAGATATCATGAAAAGAGTAGTCGAGTGGTGGGTCAAAGTATCTTTAATTATATAAAATTTAATCATACATGACTTGTGCATATGTGCATGTGGCTAGCTTCAATAGAGATGTTATTGAAGTTTCTTCAACATTTAAAAGAAATTGTGAGCATGTCATTGAAATTGTGCATAGTTTCAAATTTAATAATTATAAAAAAGAATAAACTATTAAGCTCGTGCAATCGTGCGTGCTACAATCAAGCTATTTTTTTTCTCTTACAATCAAGCTATTTAAACTTTGAAAAAAGCAGAAAATATGGGTTGGGTTTTGAGGTGAATTTCAATATTTGAGTGAGAATTTGTTGATTGGAAGTAGAAGGGTGGCAATTTTATAAATATGCAAGATTTAGATGTTAAACAAAAGGATAATTGGTTTCAACATTTAAAGATTACCTTTTGATTTTATATGGTTTTTAAACTCACACTGTTGGCCTTTAATAAAGCAAGCATTGGTAACAAAATAATCTAAAAGCAAATCAAACACTAGAATGATTGATTTTTCTCTTTAAGTTCATGTTTCTCAATAGCAAATGCTTTTTATATTCATCTGCAATGCTTCATCAAAATAATTAAACATGTCTCCATATTTGTTATTTTTACAATTTTTATTTATTTAGAATCATAGAAACGGTAGCACTAAAAGATGTTCGATATTATTAATCCTCCCTGAAAATTTCCTTAGATTTTATCTCCCATTGAATGTAGGAATATAATTTTGAATCTTATAGTAGTTATGCTGTATTGGCTTGAACCATAGTTTACTCTATTTCATTTAAATTGCATCTTTAGTTTAATCTTTAATAGACACAATTTATTGCTCCACTTTTAGTTGGTACCTCATGTAGGCATGTAGCCTTCAGTTGTGACACCAATTTGATGGAGGATAATATAGGGTTTATGGTTCTTGATGCAACTATGATGATGCCGTAAAAACAATTCACATGAAACAAATTAGGATTCTCAGATTAAAGGTCGTCAAATGCAGAAAAAATTCGTTTTCCTTTGGAGAAAACCAAAATTTTCAGGAATTATAACAACAAATAATACAATGTTCTATTAATTAACCAGAAAATTGAACCATAAAAAATCATAGAGCAATTGATTTGTTTCACCATAATTAAAATCGTAATTGTATCAAATTTGAACAAAGCAAGAACTCTAAAAGTCAACAATAAGATATTTAGAAGAAATTTTATAAAATAAGTCTATTAAAGTGAAGAAGATCTAGGCCTTGTTGCAGCACCGGAAAATAACTTACTATGGAGTTAGTTAATTGTGCTTATACAATGTTCGAAGTAATATATCCAACATAGGATTGAAGGCTAGAATTAGAAATATTGTTGAATCAAAAGATGCTTGTACGTGACTTAAATTTATTTATGTTGTTCAGATGGTGCTGTTAAATTTTAAATATCAAATCTGACCCTCCACACAACAACTAAATCCTTCCACGGGTGAAGGAGAAAAAAAAAAAAAAAATATATATATATATATATATATATATA